GTTTTTCCTGTCTTTTCTTTATTTCATAATCAGATACTTTATCTTTCTTTTCCTCATATCCTTTTCTTTCTCCTTTTTTATTTAGCCTTGCTTCTTTCTTTTTTTTCCTTTCCTGCCACCTCATTAATTTATTATTTCTTTTACTTTCATTAATTAAAAACATTTCATTAGTATATATTAGTCATACAGGGGGTTTCATTGTGACATTTCCATATATGCTTACAATGTGCCTTGGTTAGGTCCATCCCACCATTATTCTCCCTTATCTCCCTTCCCCTACTTAAAATGATTTTAACAGGTTTTAGTTTCATATAAGTATATAAAGTACATCAACCGTATTCATCCTCTTTTATCCTCTTCATTCCCCCTTCCCTTCCTACTGGTACCCACCTTCTAACAGGACATGCTTTACAACCCTGTCCTTTAAGTGTATAGTCATTGTTCAAAGGAGTTTCAGCATAGTATTTCACCTGTAAATATATTTTAATTTAATCGATTTATCCCTTCTTATTCCTCTCCTTTACCCTTTACCCTGCCCCCTATTTTTCAACAGCTTTCAGTGTATTTTGTTGTGCCTTCTTTCTGTACAGATGCAAGGTGTATTGTATACTCTCTACTATTCTCTTTTCCTTTCCCAGCTACCTCTAGTTCCATCAAACAGTATTTATTTAACTTCATAGTTTATTCTACATTTTAAACCACTTTCTTCTCTATGATTATTGGTGGTCAGAAAATGCTCACACTTGTCACCAAGAAGTGATTCAGGAAGACTAGAGTGGACCTTCCCAGGGGAGATGAACACAGGAAAGAGACATTGCTAATCTCCCAGGGGTAAGAAATTGGCCAGTGCCCCCTTCCTGCATAGTTCTTGTCCTTGAGGAGTCAACCTGATCAGGGAAGGAGCACACCATTGATAAATTTGTATAATAAGTTTCAGAGGGGATATAATTCCCAGTGCACAATGTGTAACTCTTCAACTTATAGTCACCAAGGCCCTCATGTGCCAGACTCAAGACACTCATATCTTCTCTAGAAAAATCAGCCAGGTTCTAATCACATTGCTGGCTCTTTCTCTCTGCTCTTTTGGGGGAATCGACCTTCTGTATTCATCACCTAACTTACATGAGAAAGTAAGATTGAAGGGAGTTGGTCATATGTGGGTACACATTTACAAGCCTGTTTATCCCAGTAAGTATTTAAAAAAATAGGAAATGAAATGGTTGAATGGAAGGACATTGATTATTGTTTAAGCAGAGGCCAGGGCAGGGGAAACCCCATGACATTCATGAAAAGGGAGCTCTCAAGAATAATTGCTTGGAAAGTAGAATGACTAAATTATTTGTTTAAAGTTGCCTCAGTATAGTGAACTCTTACTTTGTGTGTATATTTGTTGGGCAGATGGCTGAGGAGATTATGGAAGGTTACTCTTTGTTGGCTTCCCATGATGCTTTGACATCACAGCACTGCCCAGGACCTCTAGTGCTAGTTACTAGTCTAAGTTGTACAAATGGGAGCCCCAGGGCATTGACAGAGCTGTGGATGGCTTACAGCGAGGTTTTGGTCTTTCCTAGTTTTGTTCTCTTATTCACTGAACTGAGAACTCCAGAGCCTCAATCCTTTATCCTAGAATAATCATTTCTGAATCTCCTTTGTCACCCTTGCTTGCTGGGGACATCTCTTGCTTCTCCAGTTGGATCTGTCTTCTCCCCTGGACCACATCACTTTATCCAGAGTGCTTATTAGACACTTTCAAGAGAGAGGAGTCTAGTTAGTTTCAACAGAGCACTTACTTTCTAAGACCTGAATGTTTGTGTTGTCTATAAATCTCTGACTCAGGACATAATATGCAGCTGAGAACAGATTCCAGCTATAGAGACTAACTCTTTAGTTACCATTTCTCAAGTCATCAGAGATCACATGATACTTTTAAGCACTCTCCTCCATGGTGCTTATTTGTAGAAGATGGAAATTACATCAAGATGTTTGCTTAGGTGCCTGAAGACTGGGGGTCAGACATGAGATGATGCTTGGAATATCACTAGGAGGGAAGGAGTGAGCATTTTCTGGCACCTTCTCTTTCCTCTCTATGTGCTGAGACTCCTGTATCCAAATGCAGAGGAATGAACATCCTTACACCCTTGCCTTGTGTTGCTTTTTTCAGGAAAGCAGATTTTTAGGTGTATGAGGAGACAGCACAAAAAACTGTGTCTCATAAACACTGGGGTCAGGTGGGTGAGAGAGGGTAAGTGAAGGATACAGAGGAGCCCAACTTCCAGTCCCCTCCTGTCCTCTAACCCTTTTGCTTTTGGAATATAACAGAAGAATTGCAACTAATATGTCCCTTTCTCATTGTTCTCCCTGATTTCACTTGAGTATCAGGTCTCATCCTCCAAAAGGAACTGTTAGGACAATGATGTTCTTCTTCTCCCTCTCCTGTTCTTTATTTCAATAAAAGAATTCTTGAGGTGGTCCCTTCACTCTAATGATGTAAAGATTCCCCATCACAGTCCCCTTGCCCTTTGTTTTGTCTGTCCTAAGTCTATCTTTCATTCTAGGAAACAGGTAAAATCGTAACTGATAGCATGTTACTCCTTCATTTGCAGTCTCTCTACAGCCCCATGTATTATCCAAGTGTTCTTACCTTTCTATGCATTATCCTTTGTGGGGCTCTTGGAAATCTGATCCCTGCCTACCTCTCCAACATCACTCTTCATCATTATTTTCCTGAAATTTGTGCTAAGCCATTAGACAGTGCTAAGAACACTGTCCTCTACTTCTTGATAGCTCTTTTGCCAGGATACCTGGATAGCTCTTTTGCCAGGTATCTTCTCCTGCAGGAATCCTTAACTTCATCATTACAGTATGGGTTTAGGGATTCTCTCTGTATTCCATTCTGTGAGTCACCTTCATCTTAACATTTAACTATGTATTTATTTCTTCCATCTTCTATACCCATCTCTACTTCTGGAAAGTAAGGAACGTGAGAACCGAACCATATCATGAATCTTCGTATCCTCAACAGCTAACACAGCCTGGAGCCAAGAAACCTGGACTTCCAGGATTTCTTCAGTAACTGAAAAACAGCCAAATTCAGTGCTCTGTGTTTCCTGGCACTACTCAACAAAATTGCAATAGTAGACACTAGGAACAGGATGGACAACCTTTATATTTGCCTGGAAGAAGCAACATTTGGCTATGCTAGAAATAAAGCCATGTCTGTGGTTGCATAACTATTTAATCAAAGCATTTCCTAACATCTGAATGTGCACATGGACTATGTATATCACTTTATCAGGGGAAGTAATATGCAGCCAGGAACGTATTCTAGCTGGACCCTTCATGAACCATTCCTCAAATCAGCAAATGTCACAAAACAATTTCAAGCATTTATCCTCTATCAAGCTCATTAAATACATGTAGGAGATGGAAACTGCACCAGGATATTTACACACATGCCCAAAAGTGTGAGGGTTAGACATGAGTTCATGCTTTCTGAAACCTGAATGTTTGTGCGGACTATCTGCTTTGGTCTGTTACAACTAAGAAAACTGATAATTTTGACCCCAGAGAGGCCTTTCTTCCTTGTCACTTGGGAGCAGCAAGTTTGCAAAAATACAATCCAATATGCAGACACAGAATGAATATATCACCTATGCAGGCTGCATCACCCAGAGGTACCCATGGGTTCCACCTTCATGGATTCCACCTACCACAGATAGAAAATATTTGAAAAATTGCATGTGTACTGAACATGTATATTTTTTCTTTCCATCATTCCCTGAATAACACATTTACATGGTATGAGGCATTATAAATAAACTAGAGACAAATTAAGGAGTACAGGAGGATTGCCTATGTTATATGGAGATCTGCACCATTTTGCATAAGGGAGTTGAGCATCCATGGATTTGGTAGGAAGTCCTGAAACAAATTGTTCTCAGATATTGAGAAATGATTTTACTTAAAATTAGACAGAAGAGAACACTGAAGGTCATTTTATGATCATATTCTATTCCTTTCCATGGGTATAGGACATGACATTCCTCTGTCTTGAGTTACTGGGACTTCAGAACCTGGCAGGGGAAGAACAGAGTGTAAATGGACACTGCACTGCTATTCAAAACACTACTGTAACACAGTGCTATATCTGACCCTTTCCTTCCAGGTCTATATCTAAACATTCTGGTGCAATGTCCCTCTTCCGCCAGTATTTAGTGTTGACCATAAAGAGTACTATTTAAAATTCTCTTTGGGACTTTCATGGTGCCTTTTCATATGATGTTGTCCATGGATAATTTAACCAATCCAGTGACTGCATAGGTGAGAGGCATTAATCCCATGGTAAATGGCCAGGAAGCACTTATTTCTGCAGGAGTTTGATGGTTCCAGGTATGCACATTAATCATTTGTTAATATGGTTTATTAATTTAGTGAAAATGTTTCCTTTCCTCCCTCCTTCCTTTCCTTCCTTACTTCTTTTGTTCTTTGCTCCCTCCCTTTCTTCTTTCTTTCTGTCTCTCCTATTCCATTATTTCTTCCTTTCCTACACATGCTGTACTATTTTTTTTCTTTTTTGGTGGTACTGGGGTTTGAACCCAGGGTGGTCATATTGGAAATTTCTTTTTTGGGGGGAATTTCTTGCATTAGATGCTCTGGAGGTGTAATAGGTACTTTATGTGGCAGGTGTGTTGGAGCAGGTGTGGCCCATTTTATTCCTAAGATTGAAAGTCCCTCTTAATGATGTAGAGTTGGTGATTCTTATCCAGAGAAGAAAGGAACAGATGAGTCTCCCAGAGGCCAACAGACATAGATTGGTGAACATTATGACATGGTCCCTATAGTGAATGACAAAATGTAGAATTCCTACGTTTTATAATATTAAGGCTTTTATGCCCAATCCTTCATTATAAGAAATAACAAAGCAGGGAAAGTTTAGAGCTTGTCTTGTATCTGTTTCATGATCTTTCTCTTTCTTAATTGTCTAGCTGATGTTCAATAACATGGAACTAGGAAATCAAAATCACACAAGTGTTTCAGAATTTTTACTTCTGGGATTTTCTCAAAATTCAGAAGATCAACCAATGCTGTTTGGAGTGTTCATCCTCATGTTTGTAGTCACAGTGCTTGGGAACCTGCTCATCATCCTAGCCATCAGCTGTGACTCCCACCTCCACACTCCCATGTATTTCTTCCTCTCCAACCTGTCCTTCACTGACATCTGTTTCATCTCTACAACCATTCCAAAAATGCTGGTGAACATCCAGACACACAGTAAATCCATCACCTATGCAGGCTGCATCACCCAGATGTATTTTTTCATGGTTTTCGGAGGCATGGACACATTCCTCCTCACCATGATGGCCTATGACAGGTTTGTGGCTATCTGTCACCCCCTTCACTACTCAGTTATTATGAACCCCCAACTGTGTGGCCTGCTTGTTCTTGTGTCATGGTGCCTCAGCTTCTCATATTCTCTGATCCAGAGTCTATTGATGCTGCGGTTGTCTTTCTGCACCAATTGGGTACTTCAACACTTTTACTGTGAGTTGGCTCAGGCACTCACACTAGCCTGCTCAGACACTCTGGTCAATCACATTCTACTCTATATGGTGACTGGTCTCCTTGGCTTTGTTCCCTTCTCAGGGATCCTTTTCTCCTACACCCGAATAGTCTCCTCCATCCTGAGAATCCCATCAACAGATGGAAAACATAAAGCTTTTTCTACCTGTGGTTCTCATTTATCTGTTGTTTCTTTATTTTATGGTACAGGCCTTGGTGTGTATCTCAGTTCAGATGTTTCTTCCTCTTCCCAGAAGGGCATGATGGCCTCAGTGATGTATACAGTGGTCACCCCTATGATGAACCCCTTTATCTACAGCCTGAGGAACAGGGAAATTCAGAGAGCCCTAGAAAAACTTTTTGGAAGGATGCTCTGTGTTTAGTGATGGGGTTTTTGGTCCTAGGTTTCTGAGCTGGTACAAGTACTGGCAGTGGGAACATTTTGCCTCTAAATCATGTTGGATTTTGCTTCTCATCTCTTCTGTTTTTTTGTTCTTGATCAAAATTATCTGTGCGTGCTTTGTCTGAACCTTTGTGGTGGCTCCTCTGTTACCTTCAATTCTACTCCCCTCTTTTCCTTACTTTTATATTAGCACTTCAACTTGATATTTGTGTTTCTGTGGGTCAACACAGCTGTTCAAGTGCCAACTCAGAAACTGTTGGATAAAAATGACAAAACAGTTTGTTTTTACCAATAACTATTGCTATCTCTATCAAATTCACTCATCTGACAATATTTACTGGAGATCTATGTTGTGCCAGGCCATTCTAGGTGCATGGGATGTAACAGTGAAAAATTTTCTTCCCCCATAGAGGTTAAATCTGTGTACTAGTATACCAATTATTTTATTGGTTAGTGATGTGCTAGGATCTGGCAGAGTCCCTGTACAACACCTTGTGTGGAACACAGACTGAAACTGTGGTCACCACCCAGCAATGACTTTTGAGATTTTAGACCTGAAAAATGGTCTGCTATGAAAGTAAGATATTTTAACTAAAAAATTGTGCAACCTGTGTCTCTTTCTACTCTGGTATCTCCATTCCTCTTTCCTTCTGGTTGGGTGGTGTTGGAGGAGCCATGGACATTTTTGGTATCACAGTAAGGGAAGGTTAAGATAATGATATTTTTGATTTGCATTCACTGAGTCATATATATGCACGTGTCTCCTAGTTAATGTTACATAGAGTTAAGTTGTTTCTGGTCATCCTGATATAGGAATAGTCTTCAAGAATACTCCTGTAGATATTACTCAGCCATAAAGAAAAATGAAATTTGTTGTTTGCAGGTAAATGCATGGGACTGGAAATCTTGTTAAGTGAGGGGTTAGACTGATAAAGTACAAAATATTTACAGGTAGAATACTAAAGCAGAACCCCATTGAACAATGAACAGACACTTAAACAATGAACAACAGGAATGTAACACAGGTCATGTTAAGGGGAGGGCAGTAGGAAGGCGAGGGTAAGTGAAGAGAGTAAAGGAGGGTGATTATGGTTGATGTATTTTCTATCCATGTATAAATATGGAACATTGAAACCTGTTAAAACTATTTTAAGAAGGGGGAGGGAAAAGAGGGAGAATAATGGAGGGGATGAACCAAACTGGGCTACATTGTATGCACACATGAGGATGTCCCAATGAAACCCCCTGTACAAATGCTATATACCAATAGAAGTGTTAAAAAATAAAACAAATACAAAACACTCTACTGCCCACTGTACTGCCTCAGCTGGTGTCATGAAACAAAAATTGAGGACAAGAATTTGTCTGGGATAAGAGCATACCCTATAACACAGGTGGTGGAAAAAGAGAGAGAGTTTGACATGTGTGGAGCTAGAGACTGGCTTATGGAAAATTCTTCTGAATGTGAAACATATAAAACTGTAAGCAGATGATTCAACTCTTTCTAATACCTAATGAAAAGAGAATGTACCAAAAGTGGAAAACTATATGCAGCAACATGGATGGAGCTGGAGAACATCATGTTGAGTGAAATAAATTAGACATCCAAAGACAAATACCACATGTGTGGAAACCAATAAATAAATCTTATAGATGTAGTGAATGGAACAGTGCACAATAGAGAGAAGCAAGGGTGAAGTGGACTGGGGAGAGATAGAAATTCAGAGGGACTCTTAGGGACAAGAGAGGGTGCTGGGGAGAGATGGCTTTGTGGGTGGGTCCCTTCTTAAAGGAAGGGAGGATGGACATGATCAATGTGTGATGTATGTATGCACAAAAATATTACAGTCAATCCTATTATTTGACAAATTAACATGCCAAATAAAAACTGATTGCCTCAAAGTATTCTTTTAAAAACTAGGACTCTCACTTATTTTTTGTGTCTGATGTCACCATTACAAACTTGAAATTTTGCCCGAACTTTCAAGCAATTTTCTCTAAAATAGTGGAGTTCTTTATTACCAGGAAACAATTAAGTTCTCAAAAATAAAATAAAATAAAATAAAAATCTAACAGTATTAAGAAGTAAAAAAATGTGGTGTCTGGAAGAGTCTTAGTAATTCAGTGTACAGTTTTAAATATGAATAATTAAAAGCTGACAGCACAATCATCAGAAACTCCCCCAAATTAATATGACATCTTTATTATATAAGAAATTAAAAACAGTTGGTATAAAATAAGCATTTATACAATTAGAAAGTATTTTTTAATTGAGCTTACTTATGCTCTGATTCAACACAGAAGTTTTATTTTTTGAGATTTAAAAATAAAACCTTTTTATTAGCATATGTTAATTCTAAAAAGTAGGGACTTTTTTTTTGAGGGAACATTTATTTATTTATTTATTTATTTATTTATTATTCATATGTGCATACAAGGCTTGGGTCATTTCTCCCCCCTGCCCCCACCCCCTCCCTTACCACCCACTCCACCCCTTCCCTCTCTCCCCCACCCCCTCAATACCCAGCAGAAACTATTTTGCCCTTATTTCTAATTTTGTTGTAGAGAGAGTATAAGCAATAATAGGAAGGAACAAGGGTTTTTGCTGGTTGAGATAAGGACATTTTAAACATGCAGACAACGTACACTGATTAAACTCATGCCTCCATTACTCTTTCTTAGTCCCATCCCCTCTTTTATTAAAACAAATTTAACAGGTTTCATCATTCTATTTTCATGCATGCATATAGTGTACTTCAATCACATTTTTTCCTCTTATCACATCTACTACGCTCTCCTACCTCTTTTTGCTGGTTCTGCCCTACAAAAAGTGTACCTTTTACATTCCTGCTGTTTTTTAGGTGTAGATTTCACATATCAGAGAAAACATGAAATATTTATTGTTCTGAGTCTTCTTATTTTGCTTAACATCATGATATGCAGGTCCATTCATTTCCTTAAATAAAATATTCTTTTTTCTTTTTTCTTGGTGGTATTAGGATTTGAACTCAGGGCCTCATGCTTGCTATGCAAGCATTTTAGTTACCTCTTGAGCCATGCCCCCAGCCCTTTTTGCTTTAGTTATTTTTCAGATAGGGTGTTTCACTTTTTGCCAGGACTGATCTTCACGTCCAAGGGGCTGTGTTTACAGGCATGAGTCAACATGCCTGGCCAATTTTGTTCTTCTGGTTTTTTGTGTATATTGGTAAATTTGAAGCTTTAACATTTAAAATTTATTTTAAACCTTTTTTGTCAGTGTATATTAATTTTACAAAGGGTTTCATCATGGTATTTCCACACTTACATGTGCTTGATCAAATTAATCCCCTCTTTTGCTGTTTATTTTCCCTCTTTCCCATTATTTGAACGGTTTTTACTGGTTTTTGTTATGCAATCTTCATAAATAGACATAATTTACTTCAATATTATTCACCTCCATCATTATTTGTCCCTCTCCCCTCCTACTCATCCCCCAAACAGTCCCACATTTACATTAATGTGATACATAATATTTAAAAGTGTGTATGTTTATTTATTCTAGATTTTGCACATGAGAGAAAAAATGTGATATGTGTCTTCCTGAACCTGGCTTATTTTTCTAAACGTGATAATCTCCAGTTCCATCCATTTACCTGTGAATGACATAATTTCACTTTTCTTTATGGCTGAACAATACTCCATTGTGTATAAATACCACAGTTTTTCTATCCATTCATCTATTGGTGGACACCTAGGTTGATTTGATAGCTTGGCTATTATGAATAGTGCTACCATAAATGTGTATGTGTAGGTGTCTCTGTTGTATCCTGACTTACATTCCATCAGGTATACCCCTAGGAGTAATATTGCTGGATCATATGGCAGTTCTATTTTTAGTTTTTTGAGGAATCTCTGTACAGTTTACCACAGTGGTTGTACTAATTTACATTCCCACCAGTAGTGTATGAGGGTTCCTTTTTCTGTCATCCTTGTCAACATTTGTTGTTGCTTTTGTTCTTGATGGTAGCCATTCTAACAGGAGAACAGGAGTGAGGTGGAATCTTACCATGGTTTTGATTTACATTTCCTTTATGGCCAGGAATGTTGAGCATTTCTTCATGTGTTTTTTGGGCATTTGGGTTCTTCTTTTGAAAAAGCTCTGCTCAGTTCATTTGCCCATTTTTTTCACTAGATCATTGATTCATTTTTTATACAATATTTTTATTATTGTTGTACTGGGGGAACATTGTGACATTTACAAAATTTCCTACGAAATATCATAGTTGAAGTCATTCTCCTTTACTCACTTCCCCCCATTCCTAAAATAGTTTTAGTAGGGCTCATTTTTCCATTTTCATACATGTGTACAGCTCAGTTCATTTGCCCATTTTTTTCACTGGATCATTGATTCGTTTTTTATACAATATTTTTATTATTGTTGTACTGGGGGAACATTGTGACATTTACAAAATTTCCTACGAAATATCATAGTTGAAGTCATTCTCCTTTACCCACTTCCCCCATTTCTAAAATAGTTTCAGTAGGGCTCATTTTTCCATTTTCATATATGTGTACAGAATATTTCCATACTCACCCTCCAACCCTGTTTCCTTATATCTTCCACCCTCCCACTGGTACCCACCTTCAGACAGGACCTGTTTTGCCTCCCTGTTCTCTGTTTTTATAACAAATGGCATTTTTGTTTGTTTAAGATAGTTATACAGGGTGTTTCATTGTGACATTTCCATGCATATATGTATTATAACATGAACTGGTTCATCCCCTCTATTATCTTAGTCCCCTTTCAACAGATTTAAAAATTCTATATTCATTATTGTATAGAAAGTACATCACTCATATTCACATTCTTAACTTCTTTTACCCTCCCTTTCCTGTTAGTGACCTCTTCTTGGCCTGACCTGTTTTTCATAATATTGCTTGTATTTGTACTGGACCTATATTCCACATATGAGAGAACACATGTGACCTTTAAGCCTCTCTCTTGATGGGTCCATTTAAGCCCCACTTAGACTGTCAAAAATGGTTCCCAGCAATCATGGTGTTCAGGTTCCTCAGGAAAGCAAATGTGGGTACAGCAACCACATTTATCTTCTTAACTTCCTTATTTTAACCTCCTTCTCTCATATGTGCCCTCCCCTTAGCATGATCTGTTTGTCATAATACTGCTTGTATTTATGTTAGGTCTAAATTCCACATATGAGAGAAAACATGTGGCCTTTGGCTTTCTGAACCACACTAACTTCACTTAAGATAATGTTCTCCATTTCCATCCATTTGCCTGCAAATAACAAAATTTCATTCTTCTTTAGGGTCACTGATTCTTTGAAAGTTTAGTTTTTTGAGCTCCCTGTGTATTCTGGTTATTAATCTCTTGTCAGATATACAGCTGGCAAAGATTTTCTCCCATTCTGTGGGCTGTCTTTTAAGTCTGGTGACCATATTCTTTGCTGTGCAGAAGCTTTGTAATTTCATGTAGTCTCATTTGTTAATACTTTCTCTTAGTTAATGAGCCACTTGAGTTCTATTTAGGAAGCCATTGTCTATGCATATTAATTCCAGTGTATTCCCTGCTCTTTCCTGCACTTGTTTCATAGTTTCAGGTTTTGTATTAAAGTTCTTGATCCACTTTAAGTTGATATTTGTACAGATTGAAAGTCATGGATCTAGTTTCAGTTTTTTACATACAGATACCCAGTTTTCCTAGCAATATTTGTTGAAGAGACTGTCTTTTCCCCATCATCTGTTTTTGGCACCTTTGTCAAAAATCAGGTAGGAGTAGCTGTGTTGACTTATATCTAATTTTTCTATTCTGTTCCATTGGTCTGATGTATGATTTTAAAAAATGTGTTGTTGAATTTAGTTTGCAAGTATTTTATTGAGAATTTTTGTGGCTATGTTCTTCAGGAAAATTGGTCTATAACTTTCTTTTTTTGTTGTGTTCTTACACAGTTTTGTTTTTGGGATAATACTGGCTTTATAGAATGAGTTTGGCAACATTCCTTCTCTGTGTATTTTTTGGAATAGTTTGAGAGCATTGGTATAATTCAGCAGAGTGTCCATCCTGGGCTTTTCTTTGTTGGGAGATTTTTCTTTTCTATTTCATTGTGGTACTGGTATTGTTTGAACTCAGGTAGGTGCTTTCCAGGTGGGCTCTGAACCACTTGAACTATGCCCTCAGCTCAGGAGACTATTACTCTTTCAATTTTATTATGCATTGTAGATGTATTTAAGTTGTTTATTATATCCTTTTGGTTCAAATTTTGTAGGTCATATGTGCCTATAAATGTATTCATTTCTTCTAAAAATTTCAGTTTGTTGGAATATATGTTTTAAAAATATTTTCTGATGGTCTAAATTTCATTGATATCTCTTGTGATAGCCACCTTTAATTATATTTCTTTGTGTCTTATCCCATCCTGTTTTGTTTAGTTTGGCTAAAGGTTTGTTAATTTTGTTTATCTTTGCAAAGAACCAACCCTTTGTTTAATTGATTCACTGTTTTGTTCTTTTACTCTCCATTTCATTAATTTCTTCCATAATCTTTATTTCCATGAACCTATTTTGAGTTTGACTCATTATTGTTTTTCTGAGTGCTTGACTTGCATCATTAGTTTATTTATTTGAGATCTCTTTGATTTTTCTAATGTAGGGCCTTATAGCTACAAACTTTCCTCTTAGCACTGCTTTTGGTGTGTGCTCCAAGTTCAGGTAGGCTTAGTTTTTATTTTCATTTGAATCCAGGAATTTTAAAATTTCTTTCCTAATCTCTTCAATGACCTGCTGATGAGTCAAAATGGTGTAGTTCAATCTCAATGTGTGACTAGATTTTGTAGTATTTCTTGTTATTTATTTAAATTTTATTTCATTATGATCTGATACAGAAAGTTTTTTTTTTGTATTTTTGAAGACTTACTTTTGTACTTTAAAGACTTACTTTATGACCTAAGGTGTGATGAATTTTGTAGAAAATTCCATGGGCTGTTGAAAAGAATGTATTATTTACTGCTGTTGGATGGAATACTCTACTGATGGCTGTTACACTCATTTTGTCAATGATGTTGCTTAGTTCTAACATATCTTTGTTGATTTTTTGGTCTGTGTATTCTATCTATTGTGACAGTGGGTTGTTGAAGTCACCAATTATTATTGTATCTGGACCTACTTATTTCTTTGTGGTCTGTAATCTTTTATGAAATTGGGGGCACTGGTGTGTGGCACATATATTTTTAGAATAGATATATCTTCTTATTGGATTGTTACATTTATTAGAATACAGTAATCTTCTTTATGTATTCTGGCTAAATTTGCTTTATATGATACAAGTATAGGAACTCCTGCTTGCTTTTGACTTCTACTTACTTGGTATAACTTTTTTCCATCCCTTTACTTTTAGTCTGTGTGTATGTCTTTACCTGTGAATTGGTTCTTATAGGCAACAAATTGTTGGATCCTACTTTTTAATCCTATCAGCTAATCTATGTCTTTTGGTTGCAGAATTAAGCGCCTTTACATTTAGCGTTAGAATTAAGAAGTATTTACTATTTCCTGTGTTTCTGTTGTTTTCTTCCAGGTTGATTCTAGTGTTGCTTTTCCCTTTTTTCACCATTATGGACCTTCAGGTTTTACTACTGTGCTGAATTAAATGTTTGCTTCTTTACTAATTCTCATGTATATATCTGTCCCCACCCTCTCAGAAGTACTGGGACTTGAACTCAGGACCTTGCATTTGCTAGGCAATGTTCTACCACTTGAGCCACACCTCCAGCCCTGCCTCTTTGGAATTGAGACTCTCTTTCTTCCTCTTCTCTAGACCTTCCAGTCACCACAGGGTCCAATGGCACTCCCTGGACTTAAGATTTCTGTTTGTTCAATTGATTTTTGACAAAGATGCCAAGAACACATGCAGATCAGGCACTGGCAGCTCACCAGTAATCCTAGCAACTCAGGGGGCAGAGAACAGGAGGATTAAGGCTCAAGGCCAGTCAGGGCAAATAGTTCAAGAGACCCTATCTCAAAAATGCGTAATACAAAAAATGGCTGGCCAGAAAAAAACACATGGTGGAAAATGACAGTCTCTTCAGAAGATAGTGCTTTAAAAATGTA